GGGTTCGAAGTCTTAGGGACAATATATCCCCTAAAGTCTCTGTATATAACCATACTACATCATGTCTATAAGCCCTTTTTCTCATCCCTCAGGCCCCTTTGCTGGGGACCTTTCTGTCTTCAAAGGGAGCTATAACTTCAGGAGATCTCACGACCTAGACGGTGGATGTTACCTAGAGTCTCCTTTGCAGTTCCTTGTTGGGGTTATCTTCTAAACGATCCTGATTATAAAATTGGTTGAGCCCCCTTAAAAGGAGCTACAATGGAGACTATATAGGTAAATTTCTCTTGAGACCCTCTCAGACCTAAGCAGACGAGCTGCTGAAGGCTTCCGTGAGGCTTTCGTAGCCCTGTCTTCGGCGCTTCAGGGCCTTTTCGAGAGTGGGAGTCTTCAAGATGCTAGGACCTCTTGAGGTTTGGTTAAAGGTTTAGGGTTTAGGGGTTAGGATGCTTGGGATGGTTAGGTTTCAGGGTTTAGTAATTGAGGGAACAATTCGCAGCATGTATCAAACTCTGACTGGGGCTGGCTAGGTCGGGCACGCTGGTGTTGCTCCGTCCAGGTTTCTCGTGTTCATAGAGCAATGCAGCTCCTTGCTCAGGACTCCTTTCCCCATGCAAGTATCGCGTCCCTGTCCGGGCATTCTACTTCCTTGTGCCCTGCAAGCCCAGAGAGCGAAGCAATAGTGCCCGTGCTTCTATCTCATCATTCCCTATCCAAGCAATCTATCGTCCTTTTAGAAGCCCTGTTCACAAGCTAATTTACAAACCCGACGCTCGTTCCTGTCACGCCTGAAAGCCTTGACAGCTTGGCTGGAGCCTACACCAGGCATGTTCCGACGACGGACGAAGAGGCAGAGGCAGTTCGAAGTGGGCAGGTTGAAGTATCTAAGTAGCACCGGAGACAGATTGAACTTTGTGGTGTAGCGCAGCATGTGGGTTTTTGTCTCTGAGTTCCGCAGGCTGTGCTGCTGCTGCTGCTGCTGCTGCCGCTGCTGTCGGCGCTGCTATTGCTGGTGCTGTTGCTGTCGTGCTGTTGCTGCCGTGCTACTGCTGCTGCTGCTGCTGCTGCTGCTTCTGCTGCTGCTGCTGCTGCTGCTGGTTCTGGTTGTGGTTGTGGTCCTCGTCCTCTTCGTCTTCGGCTGTCGTTGTTGTCGTGGTTGCTGCAATTTGAAGTTTTGTGGTGACATTTTCAGCGACTTGACGTCAGAAGACAGGACATTCTGACTGACACTGTTGTTGTCACGTCCACCATCACAACGACGACAACGACTTCTGTCATGGTGCCGATCCAGTCGCGCCCCGGCTTCACAAATGGAGGACGCGGGGTCTGTGAATTGCTAGAACCAGTTGGTTGAGCTGAATGCCAGCCGAGCCAAATAAACAGACGCAGATCTGTACTGTTTATTAGGTATGTGCAAGATGTGTAGTCCGTGTTCCTCACGGTCAGAGGTCATGCCCGGTGTGAACTTGAGGATCTGTGCCAGTGGTGTTTAGACTCTTCTGCAACCATGGTCAAAGCAAGACTTCCCGGCCAGAGAGCCCGCTTTTGTGTGAACTGGCTTGTGAAACTTTGGGAGCGCAAGCCTACATCCAGTCTGGAAGAGCCTTCCGGACCGGATTCTTGAAGCGGTCGAAGGGCTCCGCACCAGGCTTTTTCTGATCTGCGCCGTAGCCTGCGACAGGCATGTGCCGACGACGGACGAAGAGGCGGAGGACGTTGCAGTCAGTAGGTTCGACAGGTACGCTGTGGCATGTAACCCCAAACACGGGAGGAGGTCAACGTTGATGAGTGGCGTGTAGCGCATGGGTTGCAGTGGGTCTGGCTGTTTTTCTCAGATTGGTCTTGGGATTGTCGAGGTCCGTGTCGCGCGCAACGAGCCGTTTACAGAAGACAGGACACCGTCGTTCTGACGTCTGCCACCACAAAGACCACCACAACTGTCGACATGGCATCTCTTCCATCGCACCCCGGTCGCAAGAGTCCAGGAACGCAGCCCTCGAGACGGTTTTGGTGTCGGTCCTTCGAAGCCTCTAACTTTGCCGGAACTGCTTGGCTGTACCCTGGCCCTGAACCAAACCTTATCCTGAAGTCTACAAGACAAGGAGCCCCTTGCCGGTTTGGGCTATGACACCTACATAGACCTAGATAGAAGAAAGTACTGGGATAGGAACGGATAAGATTATCTCCCTTCGGTCCCCGACAGAGAAACGGCCCTTGAACCCTGAATCCTGAACCCAAAACCCCTCAACCCTAAACCCTAAACCTAAACCCTAAACCCTAAACCCTAAACCTAAAGCTTAGAAGAAGGGTCCCTTGGAGCCCTCCTTGCAGGCCTTCGAGGGCGACCGAGGAAGGGTCGGAGGCCTCTTTTGGGTTTTGGGGTTTAGGGTTAAGGGTGTTAAGGGTCTATAGGGTTTAGGGTTTAGGGTTAAGGGTTAAGGGTGTTAAGGGTTAAGGGTGTTCAGGGTCTAGGGTTTAGGGTTCAGGGTTTAGGGTTAAGGGTGTTAAGGGTTAAGGGTTTAGGGTTTAGGGTTTAGGGTGTTAAGGGTATAGGGTTTAGGGTTCAGGGTTTAGGGTTTGGGTTAAGGGTGTTTGGGAATGTGGGTGCAGTGCGAAGGAGGACTTGTACATGATTCCCAGCTCCGTAGGTGTGCAAGCCATCGGCACGGATTCCATGGACCTTGTGACCCTGTGCCAAGACTGCGTTGATCTACTATAGGCCTACACATAGGCCTATTGTCTTTGGAAACATAACACATAATATTCATTGTTATAATTTCTATATATCAAGCTCGCCCAAAACCGTTAGTATTCTTGTGATTGAAAGTCTTATGTTGCCTTATATCAGTCATTTTGTAGGTTCCCGAGTTCTAAACAAGCAACAATTCCCGATAAACCCGGCTAGGATTCCCGAGAAGCTACAACGCCAGAAGTAACCCCGACAGAACTCATTCAAAGCCAGAAGCAACCCCTACAAGAACCCATTCAAGGCCAAAAGGCATCATAAGAGCCCGTTACTCCGTTAAATCCTGAACCCTACACCCAAAACTTTGCTTCTTGGCGAAGCCGCCTGTGACTCACCGCCATGTAGGCTCGATCCTACGGCCCCCGTATGGAGCGCCTATTGGAGGCGTCGCAAAGTCTGGTATAGATTTTAGGGTTTAGGGGTTTAGGGTTTAGGGTTTAGGGTTGCAACTTTTTTTTTGGAGTCTAGTCAGAAAGCAGTAGGTCACTGTTGGTTTCGAGCTCGGGGCTTCCGATCTGCGTGCGCGCGCGGCGAGCGTCCACCTATTTAAATTTAAGCTGGCTGCTGCAGTGAACCCGGGGTTTTTGATATCGAAAGTTTCAAGGGACTAAAGGAGAGACCCTTAAAGGGACCCTTGGGGTTATATAGGGGCTTTGTGAGACTATGTAAGGAGTATATAAGGGTCATATAGGGTATTCGGATTAGGGGTCCCTTCTAGGGGTCCCTCCTATTTTCCCTTAATGGTTCGAGGTCGGGGGGACCCATCGAGAAGAGTCTCTAAATACCTGGGATCAATCGTAAATCAACCCTCTGGGGCACGTAGGGTCTATAGGCGCTGCAGACCGTATGAGCCCCAACGCCTCCAAAAACCTTACATGGGCCCCTGAAGCTGCTTTTATCCCGAGTGCGCAAACAAGAGAATTACTATTGGGTTTGCTGACAGGAGTTATCCTAGAAGGGCTACTTTCCGGGTCGTTTATATGGGGCACCGCATCGAACAGACGCTAGGAACGCGAAATTGCCAATCAACATCGCTATAGATCCTAACCAAAACAAGGCGCTGGTGGCAGTTGGAAATGCAGCCGCAGGTGTTGAGGACGACCTCGCACATGTGTGCTTCTTCTGTGGGCCCCTGTGTGGTCAAGATATTTGGCTCACTGTTGGTAGCTGACCTAGGAACCTGCTTAAATCCTAACCCCTGAACCCTAAACCAATCCCTAGGAACCTGCTGAAAGACCCCCTTACTCGTATTCTAGTTTTAGCATCCATCCTAGGAGCCCTCGTGAGAACCTGAGGTTTCTGCTTCTGCTTCTGCAAATCCCATCTTCGGGGCCCCAGGATGCCATTTGTTGGGCCAAGGCCGCACACCAATTCCCGGAGCCTCTGTAGGTTTCTGCCCTGACTAGAAGAATGCCTACTGAACCAGACAACCCCTGATCTGATACAACGGCGAAGCTGGAGGGCGCTTTTGAAATTTTAGAGGCTGAGAAGGTATAGGGATTGGTTTTTTAGTGTCAGATCTGGCTTCTATCCTCGCATTACTTTGGACTTGAAGCCCCTCCTTTCCCACTCTTTCTTTCTATTCCGTGAAGGAACCGTTCGTGTCCTTCATAGGTAATGTAAGAGCTTGATCGGCTCTGACATGCGGGTTGTCTTGCTCCTGATAACCCTTGTAGCACCTGTATAGTAACCCTCATAGCCTTAATCCTGAACACCGTGAAGCCGCAGGAGTCCATTCATCACGAAGCCAAGGTCCGGCTTGGTCTATATATGTGTATTGTTTCGCTGTTTCTGACGATGGTCGTGATGATGATCGTTGTGATCAGTTCCCCTCTTGCTTTTTTGCTAGCATTACCAGAGTTTTTTGCCTCAGCGATGCTGTAACTCCTAAACTCTAAACTCCAAACCCTAAACCTTGGCTGTTGGCATGGTCCAAGACTTATCCGGACGTGTGTGGTTGGGTCCAGCCGGCTTATGGAGTTGATGGAAGCAGGGCCGAGGGTCTTGAGATGGAAGGCCTCAGCACAAGGGTAGGTTCTCTAAATTAGGGTCTCTTTTAGGTCCCGAAGATAGTACGGCACTCTTATGAAAAGGACCCAGAAAAGGACCCTAATTTAGGGAACTACCCACATACATCTACATTGAATCTACATGTTCATGATTTCTCGTTCCCGGACTTGCGGGAGCTTTCCACTGCTTCACATATGCCCTTGCTGTTGTTCAAGAAATTCCTTTGACTCGTTTCCAGGTGCCGATGAAGCAGAGTTTCATTGAGGCAGTGTGCGGGAGCTGACAAGACATGTCGCTCCTTGTCGAGTGACTTGATTGCTGGAGCACCCACAGGCGCCAACGGAGGAGAGCAGCACCGAGGCAGCTGTGGAGCATGAGGGCCTGCGGCTTGGACGACTGCTTACGAACAGTGACCTGTGCACTCGTGCGGTTCTCTCTGAGATCCCGACTTCGAGACCAAGCCGGGGTACAAGTGCATGATGTACGCAAAGGCTTGGTGCACCTACCCGGAAGTGAGCCTTGGCGTATGCAACAGCTTCAGGTTTCAGGCACCTGGGAGGTTTCCTACTTCAACTCAGTGCAATCTGCGCAAACTTTGGTTTTACAGGCTCGCAGGCAGAAAAGCGCGCCGCTTTTGCTTTCCTGGGACTCGACAGCTGACTTTTGCCTCCAGAGCGTCAGGAATCCTGGCGACGAGTATCGCAAGAACGGAAAGGTGAAGTGCTGCACTGAAATCGATCACCAGGAGGCAGGTTTTGGTCACGGGCAAAACCTTTCTGTTCCAGAGCCCTATGAGGGTCCACCTGCCCAGTTAGTACCTTCAGTTATATCGGGACTACTTTAGGGCATATAAGCCAGACATGCCGCTGATACGCCTTGTGCTGAAGAAGATGAAAGCCCTGAAGCCCTCAGCCCCAGATGCTCCCTGCCTCTGCGCCAGACTGCAGCCCTGGACAGGCGCCCCGGAAAACGAATCCGATGGATGCCTTTGTCGACGACAACCCTCTGAAATCGAAGGGATTTGGAACGAAGGCCCAATGGAATGTCCTTGACGAGGAAGCAGATTCCCGGCAGGAGGAGGACGAGGAGGAAGAGCCCGAAGAGATGACTCCAACAACCCCGGTCCCCAGGGATGAGGAGAAGGTGGCCTTGTGCGGAGACTTTGAGTTCCAGTCGGAAACGTTCCTGCGTCGCGGCAAGCCCGTGAGTGTTTGCCGGAACAAAGACACGGGCCGCTTCGCCAAGGCCCTCTGTTGCAAGTAAGTCGATACGATGGGAGCACGGTTGTCGCAGAGCGAGCCGATGTTTGTCGCGACTTCCAGAAGTTTTTCGTCGCGGGCAACAAAGCTTGCAGTGCAGTTTCGCTGCTTTGACATCAGCTTCGTGCCTGGAGCCGGATTCTGTGTGAACAGGACACGGAAGCTTTGTGTTTCCTGCATCAAGAGTCCAGAGTAGATTTAATTATTTGGTTTTGCTTAAGTAGTCCAACATGTGTACACCAATACAGCTGAAATCGCCCAAACGCTAACCCATCTCCACATGCACGCACTTCACCATGCACCAGGCAGCAGCAGTTGCGCAAGCTGCGCATGCGGCCACTGGGCTCGGATCACTTTCAGGAGGGTTTAGGGTTAAGGGTAGAAGTTATAAGTATCCACACATCCACGTTGGTTGCCTACTGCTTACAATTATGGGTTACGCGTAGATGAGCACATAAACGCACACACCTGCACGTGTGCAGATATGGGGTTCGGGGCCAAATGCAGGGTCTGTGCTGTTTGGGGACCCAACAGTTGCCCTAAGGCTCAAACTGGCCCAGGAGCCTGAGACAGTATGGTCTTTTTCCAAAATTTCACCGTAAACCCTAAACCCTAAAACCCCTTAATGCTCGTTTGTAGAGATTGGCATGATGTGTGCGGGGTTTGTTATTTTTTGCTCGGGCTTGGCGTTTGAGTGTTCGAGTTTACTCCTGCTGTAGATTTGCTGGCTTGGGTTCCACAAATGCAGGTTTTTTGTTACACTAATTGCATATCAGTTATATTCTAGGATCCCAAACCATGAATCTGGTAAGAGTTTAGCTACGTTGGAGGGCAACGTGGGGGTTTTGGGGCTCAAATTGTCAAAGGTTCAGCGGTTTTTGGGTGAAGTGGTCGGCTTCGGACTCTCAGCGCATCTTGAAGAGTGGTTGATCAGAGTTTCTCCTGCAGCCCCAGGCTCATGCCCAGCATCAGGTCCAGGCGCAGCGCTTCGCTCAGGCGCAGGCGACAGCACCGCACCCTCACACCTGTTTCAGGTATGTGTATGTGTGTTTGTATGTATTTATGTATGCATGCATGCAAGTATGCATATACATGCACAGCAACATGTACATAAAGATACACATGTATACGTCTATGTGCCTAATTAGTCATTTGGTTACCTATTGTTCTTGTTATATACTATCACGCTGCATCGTGTACATATATTGTTGCCCAAGAAAATCTTATCATGTCAGCAGTTGACATTTGTCAGGTTCCCATTTGTCAGTGATTGCCAGTGGTTCTTCGTGCCCCTCTCCGCATGTTGCTGTCACCAGGATTCGGTGAAAATGAGATTATAGGGGTCTAAATGGCCCATATAATGAATAATCAGTCGTGTTGCCCTATTTTTCTGATAGCATAAGACACCACACAAACCCTATTTTAATAATCAAGGCAATGCCGACGGCCCCTTTTTTACGTGACGTCGGTGCAAGTAATCTGGGGTGGGTCTTGATGCTGTATAAATCATAATCTGACAGGAATCGAACTGGAACAGCTTGCCAGCCACCATGTGCATCCCACGAAAGCTTCGAGCCTGGACAGCCATTCCACACAAGACAAGAAGTATGAAACAGTCTGTCTATCTAGAACCATCCATTCTTTAAAGAACGACTCGAAACCCAATTAGCCCTGAGCCCGAAGGCGTGAATCTCCAAATCCCACCGGTGACTCTCCGCTGAAACTCTCCAGGCTGCGCAGGCACAGGCAGCAGCCCAGGCCTATGCTGTTGATTTCTTTCTTGCCACACCATGCAATTACCAACATAAATGCTTGTGGGTGTGTGTTTGTATATATATATATATTTATTTATTTATATACACACACGACTGTGTATACACACATGTATACATATATCTATATCTACATCTGCTTATCTATATGTATGTATGTATGTATGTATGTATATATATATATATGTATGGCTTAGATGCATGCGGGCCAGTTTGCATGTCTGTATGCATGTATGCATGGCGTGTATGTAAGTACGAATTTGTAATGAGATCCCCTTGGCACTGCCACGACGGAGGCGGCACCGCCGCAGGGCTTAGGCCAGGCTCCGCCGCCGCCTATGCAGGCAGGGCTATGTGGCCTGGTGGACCCCATTCCAGGTTTAGGGTTTTAGGGGTTTTGGGGTTGAGGGTTTAGGGGTTTAGGGGTTTAGGGGTTTAGGGTTTAGGGGTTTAGGGTTTAGTGGTTTAGGATTTGGAGTTTAGAGTCTAGAGTGTAGGAGTTTAATTGGGGGCTTAGGGATACAGGCTGTCAGGCGAACTTCTCGCAGTAGTACCCACGGTGTAGGGTGTTGGGTCTAGAAATTCAGAGAAGACGACTGCCAAGAATGATCAAAGCTTCAGCTTGCCAGTGGCTCTCGAAACCAGGCTGACACTTTATCAACGTCTACATGCGACGAAGCAGTTTGAATGACCTGCTTCTTCAAACACGAGATATAGAAGCGTAAATAAACTATAGCTCTGCATTTGCATGCCGTTCGGGCTCCCTGCTGGTTCCGCCTTGAGTGCTGCTGCAGCCTTGGGTGTCTGTCTTCCAGTAAGTATTACTTCCAAAAATGAACTATTCCTTAGGGCTTCTTATTGTGCTTTTGTTATCATATGTCCCAAAACCCGACTCTAGTTATGAACTCCCCTATACTAGAATAGAAGCACTATCCCTCGAGGCTCGACACAGCACACTTCAACCCGAAACCCTAAACCGTCCTTGAGCTCCGTCAGGAGCCTCCTCCCCCCGCACCTCCACAGGCCATGGAATTCCTTGGGCATGTTTGACGGTTCCAAAAAAAGGGGTTGAGGGTTAAGGGTTTGGGGTCTGGGTTTTGGGGGTTCAGGTTCTCTGGGGGGATGAATCATTGAGGTTCAGAATGAAGGAGTTTGGAGTATGTGCGAGTGGCCGCTAAGCCGCCACTGGAAACCCGAAGCCCTGACGTTTTAGGGTTGGAGTTTTGGGGTTTAGGGCGGAGAGTTGGGCTGACAAGTCGCAGAAACACGGCCAAGGGCCGCGGAATGTGTGGCCTCAATCATCTCGCTGGTCCATGTTGCAATCAAGAGATTCCGCTGGTCAGTCCATGAAACTAGCGCTATGATTAAACTGCGCCCTTAAACTCTCCAGCCCCCATCCGCAAAAAAAACAACACAAAAGACACTAATCTAGCCAGTTCCCAATCCCTAAGCCCTAAACCCAAAGGCCCAAACTCAAAGGCTACATCCGATCCGCATTCCCTGCTTGTCATGCAGGCAGCACCTGCCCAGCCCAAGGCGAAGGCTCTCTTAGTGAGATTTTACATGAAGGTTTAGGGTAAAGGGGCTAGGGTTTAGGGGGTTTAGGGCTTGGAGTTTACGGTTTGGGATTAAGTGGTCTTGTGATTTTTGAGGGGTGTTGAGGTTTTGGTTGTGTGGGGTTTGCAGTTGTTCAGGGTTGAGGGTTTAGGTTCTTCACGCATGAATACTGAGGACGCTGGTAAACTTAGAAAGTTGACCGATTTTGAGTGCGTTCGATTCCGGGACCTTATGTAAGTGACTCGCAACAGTGCCTGCATGCTTCCAGAGCTGTTCTTAGTAGAGTAGATAACCTGTAACCTTGTGGCGGTACCGTAATCCTTAACTATCCCCAATGGTTAACCTTCAGTTCCCTAGCTTGGACACGTAAGTATTGCAAGGCTTTCCGAAAGCGAGCGCAAACTTTAAGAGTCGCCCCTTTGGCTTGCAGGGACGTTATATCCCTAAGCATGGGTACCTGCCTTTGGGTAGTTTCGTTTCTTTGATGTGATTTGGTTGCTGTTGTTTCAGGCAGACATGAAACTTATGATATTAGCCATATGCATGCACTCATCAGAATTGTGGCTCTTTGCTTCAGACTTCTTGGAACTTCAGCAACCCCATCTATGCATCGTTAGGGAGGATAACTTCCTTGTCAGAGCACGCAATGGACTCGTAGAAATACGGTCTGCGATAGCTCCTCTAAGCCTCCTATAGAGTATATGTTTAGGGTTTAGGGCTTAGG